CTTTTTCAGTGCCAAAAATTTTTTTATCATGGAAAAGATTCCTAGTCTCCCCATATGTGCTGCAAATAAGGATTTAATATAAACATTAATGTTATTTTACTTTATACACACACCATAATAATAATATACACATAATTTAGGTGACATGTCAGGATAAAAATATACACATAATTTAGGTGACATGTCAGGATAAGAACATAAAGAATAAATGGCATAATAGTAATAACTTAAGATTTGTACTTATTAAAACTTTACAAAGCATCCTATTGGACATTATTGATTTATAGGACATTGAGAACACATTTTGCACATCACTTCAGTTAGCACAAAGGAATATAACAATGAACAGACTTCTAAAACGAAGTCATATGACTTCTGCCCATTTTTTTTTCAATTAAGAGAACAGGTGGCAGGGAGATCCAGAAGACTTTAACTTTTGTCCAAAGAAGCCTATGGCATGGGCTAAAAAGGGATAAAAAAAGATTCCTTATGAGGCCCATCTTTTAAATAAAATGTAAAAGGCAACTCCTTAAGAGACTTTATAATATTTTAAAAATTCAAAGAAGGGAGAGGAATATGAAATTTCTGGATAGGACCTGTCTAAGCAGTACCTAAATAAGATATATTTAAATGTGTAAAAACTATTTTGAATAACTCAAAAGCAGCCATAAGTTTCCACTATTTTAACTCAGCCAATGCTTATTTAATATTTGTTTAACTTTTGGAAGTTACCATTTCCTGGTTCCAATATCTAAGGTGAAAGTAGAAAATCATTTGCTTTAATTATCAAAACTTTCTGTCAGAAGTTTTTTTGTTTTGAAAAAATGAAAATAGCTGCATAAAATCCCTAGGTTGTTAAATGACACATAAATTAATTGCTCTTTAATACCTCATTCTTCCCCATCCTCAATTTGTGTTATTGAGAAAATATAGGTACACAGTAATATAATACAGAACTCTGAATCCTGTAGAATTCTATTCATATAGTATACTTGGTTTTGTTGTTGTTGTTGTTTGTTTGTTTTTACCGAGCCAGAGTCTTGCTTTGTCTCCCAGGCTGGAGTGCAGTGGTGCAATCTCGGCTCACTGCAACCTCTGCCTCCCGGGTTCAAGCAGTTCTGCCCCAGCCTCCAGAGTAGCTGGGTCTACAGGCATGTGCCACCGTAACTAGTTAATTTTTATATTTTTAGTAGAGGTGGAGTTTTTCCATGTTGGCCAGGCTGGTCTCAAACTCCTGACCTCAAGTGAGCCAACCTCTTTGGCCTCCCAAAGTGCTGGGATTACAGGGGTGAGCTACCACACCCAGCCCTTATATAGTATACTTTAATCACTATTCATATAAAATTGTATTATTAATTCATATAAAAAGGAAAAATAATACTCATTTTCAAAATTCTTTAAGCCATGTTGAACTTTATTTGAGGGAAGAAAACGGAAATTTATTACATTATTTCCCAAAAATTTCTATTTGAATTTCTATAAATCCATTTAATTATTTAGAATTTTAATTTGGAAAACTGTTAAAAATTTAGTATGATATGCAAACAAGTAATTCGGAATGTTAAGATAAATATAACTATGAAATATATAATGTTATATGACTGAAAATAAAATATTTTTATTTGCTTGCAGTTTTTAATAATACTTTTAATAATAATACTTTAATAATAATTAAAAAGCATTTTAATCTAGTAATAAGTTTATAGTAATAAATGAACTAAGTTGTTCTTAAATCTTTAATGTCAGAACATATTAAGAACCATCTGCAGTTAGTTATTATTAACCATAAAAAGGCCTGCATAGGATCTGATTACAATGAACCAACTCTCCCTGTCATGGCAGGATCCATATCTAATATATCTTTTTATATTAGTTCTTCCCTGAGGATTTAGGACTATGCCTTGCATATAGTAGGCATTTAATAAATTTTCGAAAGAATTATGATCAGTTTTATGCTTCGTTACTAAAATGAAGACCTCTGGGATAGGGAAGTAGTTTATATCTTTGTATTAGTTGACTTTCACTCTAGCTGTTTTCTAAATTCTGATTAGTCCTGTCTTTCCCTAAATCAGTGCTTATGAAATTAACCAAGGTAACTCAACACATCTAATATCTGTGGTACAGCAACAATCTCTTAAAAATGCTATGATTTTCCAAGGAGTAACACCCATACACTCATATCCTTTTCTGTTTTAGCCTCTAGTGTCTCTTCATTTGAATACTTGGTGATGCTCTCCTTAAAGCAATGGGAGAATCTTTTATCATTATTATTATGATGTATTAGCCCCACAAAAGGAGACTTCCTGAAATTTAAAAGATGTATTTCAGAGAATGGAAACCTAACGCCACTCAAAATTAAAATTTGATACCTCTGTCTTTATTTCAAGAGATCTCAGCCTCATCTATATCCCAGAAATGGGTTTTATGGTTTTTTTGTTGAAGTGGTGCAAGAAATCTGAATCACTATAAATCTAAACTTGTTCCTTGATGACATCAACTTTTTAAAAAGTACTTTCTGTTGGGCATGTTGAGAGTTACATGGTTTCCTTTGTGTTATCAATCTAAGTATAAGGGACAAAATGTTAACCCATATCAATATACTAGATTCCGTGAGTCGAATGTACAAGCTTTAAGCTGCTCCTTGTTATTTAGAAACATTTCTAGAGTTCCTTGATCTCACCCAGTGCTTTGACCTATAGGACATCTGATTTCTTCTACTTATTGAAATTCACAATGTAATCAATAGCCTCGCTAAATCTAAGGGGTGCTGTACTCAGAGAGCTTTATGTGTATGTAATATAAGGATATGCTTGTGGGCTTGTTTTTGCATCCTGCCACAAATTACAGGGAGAGTTGTAAACTTCATTAAAAAGACATTTGCCAGGCTGCTGGAGAAAAGGGAAAATCCTCCATAGGCTATCTACCTAATTTCCAGCTGATACAGGATTACTCCCAACAGGTAACATGTATTGCTTTACTGGCCTAAGTGATGGGGTTGTTAACATCTCTTTTGGCTGGCTGTTTTGCAATCAAGCTACTTTCAGTTGCTAGAAAATTCATCCTAATATTCATGTAGAGTTTCCACCTCTCATCAGTTCTTCCAACATTGATCTCACATTGTCTCATGGGCATAGCTTATCCACTGCTCATTGAAACCTCAAATATGTCAGAGTTATATAAACAAGGCATTTGTAAAAGGGTAGACTTGTCCGCATTTTTGTCAGCCCACTAAAATTTTCACAATTTCAGCTCATTTTAGTTGTTCCTTTCACCACCACCTTCCCCCAACACACAGACACACACACACACACACACACACACACACACACACACACACACAAATAGGAGCCTCCATCCTATCTCCTGCTTCTTTACATACTCACAGTTATTGGCCCAGCAGATAGTAAATGTGCCATTTTATGCTGAAGATACAATGTGACTGAATTAATTTATCTTATTGCTTACTAGAAGTTTGACATCCTAACTTCAGCTCTGACTTGATTTCAAAAGAATTTTAAAAATTGTGAATGTAGAGTCAGTTAACAGGACTCTAAGTTGTTTCTTCAAAGCTGTTTTGCAAGTAAAATGATTAAAATCTTGGGAAAGCTTTGGTAAGGGTAGTTTTTGTTATGCAAAATAATGTCACAAAATCAAGACTCGAAAGTTATAGAGATGAAGAAAACCAAAATCTATTAAGTATGAGGAAACAACCTATGTTACTGTAGCTGACTGTCCTGGTTGGCTTTCTCTGTGATGTCCACTGATTGGAACTGCTTTCAGAAATAACAGTTTTAAACAAATAAAAGAGAGAATTACCTATACTCTGGTCTTTGTTTGCATACAGATTCAACTCTCAAATGTTTTATATAAGTAGTCTACCTAGATATTCTAGAACTCAAAATCTAATCAAATAATTTCAGTTCTATGAATACATCAATAGAAAAAGGGATTATCTGTGGTGAAACACCATTAAGTAAATTTTGGATTATTGTATAATTATTTAGAGGGAATTCCTGTCTCATTTCCCTTTAATACTGCTTTCATAGCTGTTATACACCTAATGGAAGGCAGAATTTCCAATAATGCTATACTGAAGGAGCCTTCTTCCCTTCATGGTGTATTTGTAGGAAATATTCAGACCGTATGGTTTGTGACATAACCCCCACTCTTACTTCCACTCTGAAATTTCATTCCCAGGTACTGTGTTTGACAAACAACAAAGAGAATACCCAAACCCCAGTTATAAGATGAAATGTGCTGGCCCATGTAGCATAATAATAATTTCCGATAAAGTCATGTCAGATGGGTGACAGTATCTGCAGAACCTAGGAGCTGGAACCTGAGTTTTTTCTGTTCTAAAAAGTTCAGGAGATTACACCTGTAATCCCAGCACTTTGGGAGGCCAAGGTGGGCGGATCATGAGGTCAAGAGATTGAGACCATTCTGGCCAACATGGTGAAACCCCATCTCTACTAAAAATACAAAAATTAGTTGGGCATGGTGGCACATGCCTGTATCCCAACTACTTGGGAGGCTGAGGCAGAAAAATTGCTTGAACTTGGGAGGTGGAATTTGTAGTGAGCTGAGATCAGTCTACTGCACTCCAGCCTGGTGACAGAGTCAGACTACATTTCAAACAAACAAAAAAAGTTCAGGTGAAGAGCATTTATACTGTTACTGCTGCTGCACCTTTAAACAAACAAAAAAAACACTTTAATAAGAATATTGGTGGAAAAAAAGAATGGAGGATGGCTTACCAGTGAAACATTGAATTTTCCTTGTTTAAGAGAGTCTACTTTTGTGACTTGTTTTTCTCACACATGGAAAATAACATTTTCTTACAGGTGTAAGGGTATTAGAATTGTCAGGCTTTCCTTTTCAAAGTAATCTATTCTGTTATTATGAATGTTAAAATATTTATTCTTTTTGTCTGATCATTTTGTTTGATTTGTGCCTTCATGGTATGTACTAACATTCTGACATGCTCTTCCAATGAACAGGTCGTCATGGAGATGGAGGTTATTGGCCAGTTGATACTAATTTGATTGATAGAAGCACCCTAAATGGTAAGTATATAAATTTGGTAATATTGAATTCGTTATATTAATTAAATGGTTAATTCAAGAGTGTTTGAGGCAAATTTTCTATCAACTGAAAGTGCCAGGAACCTTGGATTTAGTGTCTTAGTGGGATAATAGAAACATGAAGCTATTAAAAAAAATAAAAATCTCTAGTACATTCTGCCAGGAGATGATGCCAATAAGAGTTGACAGGTGTGTAAAAAAGGAGTCAGTTAGAGAAGCCCAGTGTCAAACATTTTATAAATGACACAAAGCTGTGAAATACCAAGATTTTTAAATGTCGCAATATATTTAAAATGTTTGCAAGAATCTAATTTTATTTGAGAGAGGTGAGATCTAAGGTTGGTTGAACTGAAACCCATTCAACTTCATATATATTAAAGTTACTTGGATTTTTGCCTGCAGAGTACATTAATCCTTCAAAATCCTCTAGCATCTTAGTGCTAAGTTTTCTTTGTGTTGTCAAGATTAGACATTCACTTCTGCTCATCCTAGTGGAGCATGCCCGAATAGTTGCTGGCTTTAAGGATGACCAGATGGAGGTGATACCTAGAACTCCATGAAAATACAAGGCTAGTTTGGGGGCTACATTCCAGGATCTTTTAGTTTTGCTGAAACAAACTCTAAAAGGATGGATTAATACTGGCCAAATTTAGGGGACTAATATATATATAAGGCTATTTTGTAGGTTTATTTTTAATTATTGCTGTTGTTTGATTTACTAAAAAGACCTCCAGATATTCAAAATGTGAAGATGAACACTTGTATACCCATCACCAAGATTAAAACATGAAATATACAACATGGAATTGAAATCTCTTGTATGTCTGTGTTTTCTCACATGCTTCTTACCACTGTCTGTTCCTTGCTCTCATATAAGTGCTCTAACTAATTTGATGTTTACTGAATATGTATACGTATCCCTAAACATTATGTTGCTTAACATTTTTACAAATTTATACAAATAATATTGTATTTTGCTGCAACTTGCTTTCATTTTTAACTCAGTTTTGGAGATGTATCCGTGTGTTTACGAGTGGCCTTCACTCACTTACCTTGGTTGCTTTACAGTATTCTATTTTATGAAATAACAAAATTATTTAACCATTTTAAGAGGTTTACATAAGAAACTTGATTACTGAACTGATAAATTTCCATTTGTTTGATCTCCTGTTAAAAAATCCAGAACAGAAGTCAAAATTTCAATCTAAAAGTAGTTTGCTGCATGTGAAATTAAAACAGTTGTGTGAATCAAGTGATCATTTCTTATAGGCTGTAATAATCTAATGCATCAGTTTTCCCAAGAGGATACACACACACACACACACACACACACACACACACACACATACACACACACACATATAGAGAGAGATAAAGAAAAATTATACAAAGGATTCCCATCTCAATGTACATATGCATCTCAAGGTCTATATGCATAAACAGCTAGAAATAATTCTAACCTAATTGGGCCTCCCATATTTTTAATTGTGAAATATGGCAATCCCAATTTCAGTTCAAATTCAAAAGTTTGTTGTTAACTATTTGAATTTGGTATTCAAATTAAAATAAATTTTGGTTGAAAAGAAATCCCAGCCCACATTTGAGGTGAATATATAAGTCGACAGTTATTTTCCTTTTCAAAGGTGTCAGACATTATATGAAGAGAAAGACAGAGAAATCCACATCATTGTATTCATTTTCATTTTGCCATTTAAGATTTCTAGGGAGAAAAAATAATCAAAATTAAATTTGACCTGTTAAACATTATCTCACAGGAGAAAGCCATGAACATCAAATAGACTAATGCCTTTCAGTGGCTTTGAGGCATTTTAGATGGATTATTGACATTACTCCTTCCCAATTTTCTGCATCACTTAATGATGTTTTAGGGAGTTCATGCTAAATGAATGAGATGAACAACGTACCTGAAATATTTCTAGATTCCCTACTGGAATAACAAATTATTGCAAGCTGCCTGGCTGATTAAGGTGAATTGATAACTTCAGAGAGCCATGGATGGTGGAGACCAAATTTTATTTGTTTCCTACTCTATTTTGCTAGCAAATAAATGATAGGAAATATGTAATGTGATTTTAGCCTTGGCTAATACAAGCAAATCAACAAAGGCATCTGAAAACCCCAGATTTCTAGTTAAATTTTTGCTAATGTCTTAAGTTTTAAGAAGGGGGGGTATGTTTTCCAAATAGATGTTCAAGCAAGCCCCCTGAGTGACAAAACTCCAGTGTACCTCACCCTTACAAAGTGGGCTACATCAAAATATTTAATGTCTGAATTTTTAAACCTTGTATACAATAAAATTTCATACATCTCCCCTTAGAGTGACAGAATTATAGAGGTTTCCTAGCTCTCTCTACACTTGCTGGATTCATTCTTCAAAGCATTGTAATAGAATAATGGCTTACTGTCAGGATACTCAAGCCAGTTGCAAATAAATTTAGACCTCGCTAATCATTTACTTTCTCTTACAGCATGCCACTCTTTTAAAAATGCACTCTTGAAATTCAAATAAAGAAAAACAAAGCTATAGTTCATGTTTATTCCTGTAGTTGGGAGCCCTTAATTAAGTTGAAGAACTGGAAGAGGCTTCTTAAATTATTTTCTGATGACAGGTAGAATCAAACCTAATATGTAATGACGTGGCAGTATTTTTCTTTTATGATGCATTCAATTTTAGATTAGGGTCTACATTCTTAATACAGAAAAATCTTCAATATCTGAAAATGTGTTTTGTAGTTTACATTTGTATAGATGACAGGAACTATGAAAATTACTTAAGCATAATCCTGCTTTTCTGATTAGAGAAGATAAAATGGCAATTTCCTTTTTTTGATAGCACTACCTATAATTTGTAAAATCAGTGTAGCAAGTTTGATTAAAATATCTATAAACCTCATAATAGTTTTTTATTGACCTCAACCTTTAAAGACAAAGTTAAGCTTGACAGATTTTAAAACTTTGGCATAGCAATGTTAATTAAAAAGATCAACATTATTAATTTTTAAATACTCAGAATCATATTAATGCTTTATAAAACTTGTCTAAAGGAAGTGATTTGCTCTCTATTTTTGCAAACCTGTTTTACTTTTTCAGAATTCAATAACATTTTAACCAATATAAATAAAGCATACATTAAATTCTTTCCACATTTTTATGAAATGATCATTCCAAGGTTGGTAACTATTAGAAGACACCCAACGCTGTACTCAGCAGAAGTCTTAGTGCAAAAGAAAAGGTATGGAAATAAAATTTTACAGCCTTTTCCCAGATGAAAAGAAAACTAGAGCAATCTGACGTCCTAGATTCCAGTCCAGTGATTACAAGAGACTGCCCACCTATCATCCACCCATTATCTTTATCCCAAAGGATTTTAGAAGTATTAGTCTAATTCTAGATTCTAGAACTGACATTTTAGGGCTTAGAGCTGTGTGACAAATCAAGTCACTTAAATTCCAGCACTCAGTTTTCAACTGGATATAGAAAGTGTCAAACTTGAGCAGAATTTCTGAACCTCACCAGCCTTAACATGTAAGATTGGATTTTTCTTTGTTGTGGGCACTGTCCTGTTCATTATGGGATGCTTAGCAGCATCCCAGGGCCTTTACTCGCTGGATGCCAATAGTATCTCCTCTCTTCCGTGTTGTAACAATCCAAAATGTCTGTAGACATTACCAAATTTCCCCTTAGCAGGAATCTTCCCAGTTGGAAACCGCTGAGCTAGATTAGCATAACCTCTTGGTTGTTCCAGGGTGCATGGGTCCCCTTGAGAAGTTCTGAATGAATGAATGAATAATAAATAATAAATAAATAAATAAAGTGTCCTACGTCAAGCAATTGAGAAAGTGGTTTGGAACTTCACTGCCCTTTTGCCAGGCTTTTGTCTTCTGTTTGAACAGTAGAGGTTTTAGCCTTGACAGTGCTTCTCTCTTCAGCCTTAACGTTTTGATTTTGGTGATCTCATTCTTTCCCATGGATTGAAATTCCATCCTTGTGCCAGCTCCCAAATTTATATTTCTAATGCAGAGAGAGATAAATGCCCTGGCTGTCTCTCTAGCAATTATCATGAGATGTCCAGCCTGACAAATTCAAGACAGAACTGTTGTTCTTCCCACTTTGAGCCTTCTCTTTCACCCTTTCCCTCATCTCAGGCATGAGGACTACTCCTTAAGCCTGAACCTGATTCTCTCATTCTTTCCTCCCCCATATCCAACCCATGTTTTGCTCATTCACTTTCAAACTGTATTGTGTAACTGTCCACTTTGCCTGATTGTAATTGCCACTGTCTCAGTTCAAGCTATCATCTCTCATTTGGAGAACTTTAGTAACTAACCTCTTAGCTGATCTCCATGCTTCAGCCACTGACCCCTCTCCACACAGTAGCCGGAGTGATGTCCTTAAAACAAATCACATCTGTTGCTGGCTGCTGAAACCCCTTAAAGGGTCTGTGATTGCATTTAGGAAAATTGAATGAAATCTGCAAGACTCAGTATGACTTGGTCCTGTTTCTCTGCCCAGCCTCCCCTTGTGCCCTTCTCCCTTTTGCTGGCTGTGTTCCAGGCACATAACCTGCTCTCAGTTCTGTTTAAAGGAATAGGAGCTGATGCTTATTGGTAACTCATGCTTCAGCCTGTTACTTTCATAATGAGTTATTTCGTGAACCCGCAACAACAGCCATGCATTGTCATGTTATACCTCTCTACATGAACCTTTGTGATCTTTTTTTAGCACCAGCTATAATTGTTATTTTATACAAGCATCCCTCCTTTTATTTTTGCTTTACATTATTGTGCTTCACAGATACTGCATTTTTTCCAGATTGAAGGTTTTTGCTAACCCTGCATTGTGCAAGACTATTGGCAACATATTTCCAACAGCATGTGCTCACTTCATGTCTCTGTGTGACATTTGGGTAATTTTTCTAACTTTTAAATTATTATTATATCTTCTGTGGTGATCTGTGGTCA